CATCAGGGAACAGAAAAATGCTTTTAAATTTAGGCTACCTTATTTGAAGGAGACCTGTAATGGAAAATTTTATTAGTATTACAAAGTGCAGGTTGACAGGATCCCTGTAATAACTTTGGGGACTTTTATTACAGCAAAGACAATGCTGTAGATATGCTAATTTTGCTAGCCTTTACATGACAAGAAGGGAGAGAACCCAGTCCAGAATAACTGGCCAGGAAGAAAGGTAACATGCAAAACTTACAAGTGTCCCTTTTTATTCCTCTTATATAAAGATGTGCACCCTCATCATTACAAACAGTGTCTCTCAGAAATAGCATAATCAGCTCATTCTAGGTACTAGTCCATCCTAGAGAGAGATTTTTAAAAATGCAGCAATCTCATCTGTGCAAGTACTTGCAGAGAAAGACTGAATCACTTTACCAAATATCCTCACATAATACTGCTAATCACTTCTTGCACATTTCTCTGAAGTACCTAGTGCTGGTTATCTGTCAGAAGCAGGACCCAAGGAGAGAGGCTCTTGGGTCAGATCACAGTTTGAGTTTTCAGCACAGCTTCGAAAATAGTGAAGGTGTGTCAATGATACAGGTGAGGAGTTAGGGTATTTTTACAGGGTTTTTTGAAACAATATTGAGCTTACAGATACTTGGTGATAGAACTTGATAAATACATGAAAGGAATGATATGATTATGATATGATATATGATATGATGTGATTGTCAGTGATAGCAAGAGCTGCACAGATGACAGAGATCACTTCCAGTCTTGTGTTTCTCAGACTTTCTTAAAACTATGAATGCGATTATAGAAATTTAAAATATTCCCAACCTTTTGCAGCTGTCATAGTAATTTTTCCTTTATAAATATATATACATATAATGTGATGCAGTATTTGCGTTTCAAATTAGCCTAAAGATAACAAGTTTAACAGAAGAAGCATCTCAAGTATTAGAGAATATTAAGCATGTGAGTTTCCATTGTATCTGAGATCTAGTTGCCTACAAGTCACACTGGCATTTAGTTAACTTTTTTTTTTTGTAGTTATCCTAAACATAAAATTGCAAAGCATTCTGTATTAAAACTTAGCTGCTATTTCTATTTTTAAAATACTAAGTCCCAAACACCTAACTGCTGTAAAAAAGGAAGCGGTGTATTTCATTGCCTATTACTGCACACCATAATGCACACATTCTTTTCTTTTTGGATCTTGGTTACCTTTTTAAAAGCTGAAGCATGTTTACCATATAGTAATACTACCTGACTGTATTAATGACTTTGCTTACTTTTCAGAAACTGCCAGCTAGAGCTGTATATGACTTCAAAGCTCAGACTTCTAAGTAAGTACTAGACTTTTGTTCATGTAAGAATTCATAATTCAAGAACTCTCTTTCTAGCGCTTGTGGCAGTTAGCTGCTGGTCTAGACAGTTTAAACAGTAAATGCCATGGAAGCAGGGGGCCCTGCTTGCTGTCACAGTAGTCTCTGCATTATCAATCTGTGTGGGAAGTTATTTTGTAATAAAAATGTCTTAAATTATTATGTTCTCCACTGTATTTGTTTGAACACATGAATGGCTGTGCATCTTCAGCCTTCTAGCACATGGGTCCTGAGGGTCACCCAAGTGAACGTTCTTCGTCTGTTGTGAATTGTATTTAGGTGACACAAGGTACAGTGCTTAAAATACTGTCATAGAGAGTGTGCTTATCAAAATTCTGTATAATGCTTCAGCATCTTCCTGTCTGTCTTAACATACACAGGCTCTCTGCAGGATGTGACATGTTCCATACCAGGACAAAGCACAGTGGTCCAGTAAGAAAAATAAAATCAGGAGACACTGGTTTAGGATATGAGAGAGTCAAAGTAGAGTGTCTGTATTTCATTCCTGCTGTTGTTCTGATGATCCAGGGCATTTAAATGATCGTTAGATATGGCCAAACATTGACACTAGAATTACATTAGCTGTGTCTGGTAGAAAACTCATAACTTGAATTATCAGAACAGCAGATTAGCTCTTGAAAAATCCAAATGGATGATACAGCAAAGAACTCCCAGGCCAGGATCTGAAAATATTCTTACTGTTTTGGATATTTCCCTTTTTTTGTTATCCAACATTAAACATATCACAGGCTCCAAATGGTGATAACATAATCTAGTGTTCTTCATGTTTCTGAACAGCTGTATTGAAAGAAAAATGCATAGAGCAGAGGCACGCCATGCTGTGCTGCTGCTGCAAAAAAAGGTAGTAATAGATCATAGAGACGTGGGATATATTCTGTAGTTTTCCCTGCTGATTTCACAAGGAACGCCAAATACTCTTCAGATGCTTGTCATAAAAACAGCATCTAAACAGGTGACACAAAATAAATCATACTTGCATGCAGACCCTGTACTGAGCGCTCTGGTAATAACTAGCAATACACCCTTGGAATCACAGTGTAAAACAGGCCTATATAACTTACAGATAGTACTTGGGATTCATAAATGTGAATCATTTTGTTTTATATGGTAAGATCAACTGATAGATGTACAACAGCTGTGGCACTTTTTCTTCAAATGTTAGTTGCTGCATTCTGTTTCAGTTCCAGACTGTAAAGATCTCAGAAACTATGCAGGTAGAAGAGTTAAATGTAAAGCTGATCTAAATAAATTTGTTACAGAGAGCTGTCCTTTAAGAAGGGAGATACTGTCTATATCCTCAGGAAAATTGATCAAAACTGGTATGAGGGTGAGCACCACGGAAGAGTTGGAATATTCCCAATTTCTTATGTCGAGGTTTGTTCTCTGTTTTAATTCCTTGAATTAATTTGGGTAGTAGGTCCACAAACAGCATGAGAATGGTGAAAATCTGTTTTTTTCCTGTTTCCTTAGAAACTTTCTCCCCCAGAAAAAGCACAGCCTGCCAGGCCACCTCCCCCTGCACAGATTGGCGAGATTGGAGAAGCTATTGCCAAATATAATTTCAGTGCAGACACAAATGTGGAGTTATCGCTCAGGAAGGTACAGTTTAGAACTTCTTTATTAAAATATGATTACAGTGTCTACTGCTACACAGAATTAAGATATAGGTAAATAGTGTGCATTGGTGCACTCTGCATTCAATATTTGCTATGCACAAAGCAGTGTAATAGTAGGAGATTACTAACACACTGACGTAATAGCTATTGGCTTGCAGTCTTTCACAGCCACCTGCAAATAGTTTAAATATGTTATGCATGTAAACTGGATTGTGGTACATTAGCATATGCAAACATCTGCTAACTGCCCACCTGAATTTTTAGTTTTCACTTCAATTATCCATTCCTTTTTTTAATAATTATTTCTTCTTGTCACAACTATCATGGTAAGGTTTTTAATATAGAAGTAATATAAAAATACAGAAAGTAGAAGATACAGGAAGGCTCAGAGATATTTCTGTGACCGTACCAGTTCTTGCAAATATTTCATTTAATATTTCATTTCACTCTGCTTTTTCTAAAACTCCCTTAAATTTTATATGCACATCCTGGTAGTTATACTTCATTGCAGATGAGTAAAATAAATGTTTTAATTTCTGAGGTTTGTGAGACACTGGAATGTTACCACTGTATAGAAACTTTATTACTGCATATATTATATACTTAGTTGTAAGCAGTATATACTTTTTATCCACTGGAAAGTTCTGCCTCTCTTTTTTTAAGAATTAGAGTTCATAGAAGTTATTCAATGGTTTGGTTTTCTTTGGAAATAAGAGTAGGATACAGATTTTTGATGCTGACCTAGAGCCTAATACAGCACCACTGAAGATATTGGGTGTTTTTCCACTCATTTGAGATTGGTAAACATCAAAGAGGCCTAAAAATAAAATCAGAACTAGGAACTTAGAGATCTAGGGGTTGGGGGTTGTTTGATGATTTATTTATTTTTAAAATTCTCTTTTGTACTTATTGTGATGGTCATAATCTTGACATCCCAGTTTTGGTTTGTTTTTAAAAGTTAATTTGCACTGGTTTTCTTTTGTCCCATTCCACTAAAGATAATTTTGGGGTTCTCCACAAATCAACTACAGAAAACATAATTGCAGAAACCCAAAGAGAACGCAAAAACTAAGAGTGAAGGATTTGTTACAAAATGTGCTTTTTGTTACACATGGTAAAAAGCACTCCATGTAAAACAAAAAAGGGGTTACACCTCATGAAGTTTCACTACAGAGAAAAGTTTGAACAGAAAGTTGATATTTTCCATTTCAGTTGCTAAGCTCTCTAAAAACAGCAAGTGAGCCATTGCCCATCTTTTCTACACAGGAAAAGCACTTCTTTCTATCATCTTTCCCATGAACTCAATTTTTAAGTTTCTACCACCAATTATTCCAATTTTACTGATAACAAAGCACATGCATGGATTTCACTGTTTAACTTTTATCACTTTTAAAGAAAAATGGGCATAGCAGTCACTATTGCATATTGCAGTTAGGATGTTAGCTAGTAGTTTGGACAACAATTAAACCACGTTCTGTTCCAAAGAAAAGTTTAAATGTTAATCCCCCAACCAAGAGTAGGAGAACACATGAGATTCTCCTCTGATAAAAAAATAGCATTTGCTGTCTGTGACTAGCCCCCCATTTTGCTGGAATGGTAATTGTATACATGATTATTATAATTGGGAGGAGAAATGTTAAAATGAAGATGATTCTCAAGATTGATGGGAAACAGCACTGCAGGGAGAATAATTCCGTACGTTAATATCTGCTATTCAAAAAAATGAATTTACAGTTTAACTGCTGATAACTTATTTTCATAATGCATTTCAGGGAGACAGAGTAATTCTTCTTAAGCGAGTTGATCAAAACTGGTATGAAGGTAAAATACCAGGAACCAACAGACAAGGCATCTTCCCTGTTTCCTATGTAGAAGTCATGAATAAGAACACATCAAAAAGTGTTGAAGACTACCCTGATCCTCCAATACCCCAAAGTTATTCTAGTGATAGAATACACCAGTTAAGTTCAACTAAGGTAAGGATTTTTTTTTCTTTGCTATCACCCTACTGTGGGTTTAGAAGGACTTGTAATTTTTCTTTATTAACATAAGATAATACATAATTTATGCATTAGGTACACTACATTTTCTTTCCTGCATAGGTAGAATTGTATTTCTAACTTGTTATTAAAGTATTTTAAATGCCAAACATGTCTCTTATATTCTTCCAGGATTTCTGCTCCTTTCTTCGTTAGCTATTACATTATTGAGAATAGGGACGGTCAAAATTTGGGCAGAAAAATCAAGCTGATAGAACAAAATTTCAGCATTATGGATATGTCTTTTGGACTTTTCACAGTGCAGTGTGAAGACATTCCCATTACACAGCTGTCCTAAAAGCGTGCAGTGCCATAAGCATGCAAAGGGCAAAGACAGGGCAGTTTGTGTGGGAACGCAGCTTGCCAAGACCAGTTCTGTGCCTTTCAAAGTAAGGGAGAACAGCTGGTGGTTCCGTACTATAACCTTCCTCCCTTTGCCATTTGCCCTCCAGGAGGCTGTTGGTATAACGGAGGTTCTTTGGAGTGGTACGACAGCGACAGTGTTGTTTCATTTAGTGATGAGTCAAATGTCATCACATTGACAATGAACTTGGATTCAGACCTTTATAGTTATAATTCTTCACAGCAAATTTCTGTGGTAGGTTTTGAGTTCTTTTCCTTCCTAGTCTGTATAACCACAACAAATCCTACTACAGGATGTTGAAAAAAGATTCCTGTATTACGATTTATCATTCACTTGTGCGATTTCAGTCACCTGTCCGGGGAACATAACCTCTTTGGCAGTAATATAAACTAAGAAGGTTTCTGCATGAAAACTGTGATTAGCATTAATGTATTATCAATGAATTTGAATGCTTAAGATGGAAACTTATCTAAATCTTCCTCTTTACCTTTGTTGTTTATCTCTTCAGCATGGGACAGTGGGGTTTGTGTATAATTACAAACTCCTTATCCTGCTATTAATCTCTGTTTGTTTCAGTTGGTTTTGCCCCTTTTTCTACTTTCATATACTTACATATAGGTGCTCATTTACATGCTTCAACTTCAAGATAAATTTCATATTTCTTTGCAGCTTTGGGGACAGCTACCAAAAGGTGTCATTTATAGACAACAGTGGCCTCTGAAAATACTGCTTACAACTAAACATTGTTACCTGGTTTTGTATAGTTGCTAGAACAGGTCTTGTCTGGTTTTCCAGAATGTGTCACAACACATAACTAGCTCCTCTCTCTTCCATCCCTACAAAACTGTTGAACAGAAGTAGCATCAAATTCTGTAGCTGCAGACTGAGGCATTCATAAGTTAGGGCCTCTTATTATTGCAGGAATCTGGAGGTTCCTGAAGGCAAGTCAAGAGTATGAGGCAGCTTAGGTGCTCCACGTTACAGAGCTGTCTCTCTGTATTTGGAGATACCTCTCTTCCCAGTTTCTATGGAGCAGGCTTGTCTCTAAGGCATCCTGCAGCTAAAGCTGGTGCTTGTGTAACCCCTATAACCCTTGCTGAGCATAGGTGATACTTCAGGGCATTTACATTCAGATTACAAAACTGTCCTGCCACTATTATTAAGTTCAGTATTACTAAATTAGTTCTGTAGGGGAGAAAGTGGAAGAAGCCTTCTTTGTAACATAGGAAACTTTTGCAATCATCTGGGTTTAGCATAAGTCAAAAAAAAAAACAAAAAACAAACAAAAAAAAAAAAAAACAAAAAAAAAAAACCAAACCCTCCTCTACTGACACTCTTAAACAGATATCTTGTTTCTGAATTCAACTCTTTCAGAAATGGCAATACCATGTAAGAAAACATCTCGTTCCTGACTGCCTAGAAGGACTTTAGCAGTCCTGAAGGTGTTCTGGGGTTTACCACAACTAGTGGTACCATTTTTCTTATTCCTTTGGAGTTTTTTAGCACTTATCACTCCCTGTTGCTAGAGCAATTGCACTAAACTTCTCTGGTCTAATGGCAATAAAAATAAATAAGCAATACAAGTCAAGAGCAAGGTTTGCTCTCCTTAACTTGGCCTTGACCATCTATATCTTTAGCTCCTAGCGCAGCCTGTAACCACAGAAAACCAAAAATGGCAGTGTCTCCTTGGCAGTATCATTGACCACAGGTTAGAGGCCCTTGTTCAAGAGGAAAGATGAAGGAAAAAGATTGAGTATTGCTTATAACAGCCTAGCTCTGGTTTAGCAGACTGCATTGTATCAGTCTATACTGTTTTCTTTGGTACAGAAGACTCTGTAACAAAGGTTTGTCTAACTATAAAATAAAGCTTTTTGCCTCCAGAAACCTCAAGCAGAAGGTAAGTAAATTAACCTTCCTATTCTGTGGCATTAATTTAGCCTTTTGAAATTATTTTCCTATTCTAGAGTAATACTTAAAGTCTAAAGTAGTCCAGGTAGCTTAGAGATGTACATGTAATTATTCTGGATAATTCTAACAGTGAGATCAAAATATTTTTCACTCAATTTTGAGGATTAACAGTAACAAAAATGCATTTTCAGTATTTACTGAAGCAATGGATATCTACTGATGCTGTGTACGTATGACTCACCAGTCTCTCATTCTTAGAAAAGGACATTTCTTTTACCAGAAGGATACTTCAATCAATATTATGTAACGGTACTCAAAATACACGGCTCTGCACTGTGCTGTCACTATTTTAAAAGCATTGTTGACTGCCTACATTCAATTAGAATTGAATGTACCTTTCACAAATGTTGATGTAATTTTGAACTAATAGGGTTACTTTTGAAAACCAAATATGCATTCTGTAGCTGCTCATGCCTTAATAAAAGTATGCCATGTATTAAAGATGTTTCTTAAACATTTACTCAGAAGTACTAAGAAAAAGTAGAAGTGTTAACGTTAGGAGAATTAGAAATCACATCAGTTGTTATAGTTTCAAAGAAACACTTCATGACACTGGGAGTATACTTCTGAAAATGCTGTTCTCAAAATAACAGTAATGGTTCAGGGAAAATTACATTAATATTAATTGTATGATTTAATAACTTGTGACAGGCTCACTAGCAGAGCACCATAAGTAACATAACTTTAGCAGGTTGCCTTCATAATGTAATGATTCAGATCTCTCAATGTTTGACATTTAAGCCCCAAGCCAGAACCTGATACAGTTTCATTTTTTAAATGTCTGTCCTGCTGTTCTGGTTCATGTAGTAGTGATTTCAGACACCTGTGCTCACTGAAATGATACCCTATAATCCAGATGATGGCACAGACGTTTTTTTCTTTTCCAGTCTACTCATATTCTAGTTCTCTGTCATGCTTACTTGTTTATTTAAATTCCCATGTTTTTCTTATTTTTGAAGTTGACTTCCCAAGCACTGTCCCCACTTTCCAGACACCTTTCTTCCTCTTGGTCACCCATTAATCAAAAGATTCTTCAAGCTGCCACTAGTGACTGTTTTTCAAGGACTGTTGGTTTTTCACCTTCAAGTGTGTGCGTCTTACCACCTCCACCATTTCCAGACAGTTTTCTTTGTGAGTTAGAAGAACTCAATTCCTTGGCATTAACAACATCCCAACCTGTAACAATCTCCCCAGGTAATAGCACTCACGAAGTTAAGGATGATCACTTTATTCCAAATACAGAGGTCTCTCTCAGGTCTCCTACAGCTCTTCCTCTGTCCTTTCTTGTATCTACGTCTGTCTCATCTTCAGCCAGCTCTTCTCATGACATAGCATATAAGCATACCAGCAACAATACCAAACCAGGAAAAGATAAAGACTTGAGAGGTATACCTCACTCTTCAGTTAGCAAAGTTCCTAGAGACTTGTCAGAAACTACAAGAGAAGGTGAACATCTTGGTGCTATCTGTAACATCCCTTTGCCACATGAAGGTGGATCTGTCTCCAGAGGGCTAGCTGCAGCTGCTGAAAATGAAGAGGAAATCTGTACTGAAGATCTGTCAGTTAATATAGGGGATCAGTCAAAGCCTCAAGAGTCAGATTTCTACAGAGGAGCACAAGATGCAACAGAAGAACTGACAAGACTCTATATAGAGGAGGATCTGGGACATGACAATTTAGAATTCCCAATAGCAAGTGGAGGGGACTCCATGGTATGCTATGAAGGATATACTTCACCGAATATTGATAAGGTATTTTAATTTCTGAAAAACCTGGCTTCTGTGTTGAGATAGCTTACTCAGTATAATTATTCTCTGCCTTTTCTTGTACGTACATGTTTGTATTGTGCACAGGCACAGTTTTGTACTACTGCATCTCATAAAAATTGTCAGTGTTAGGGGATAGTCCCTTCTCAGAAGCAGGCATATACACTATTGTAAATTCCATGGCGTATCAATTCTGCTGGCCCTTTCCCTTCTGTCCTTGTTAGCTGCCATCAAGCTTCTGATACAGAAAAACAGTGGACCATTTTCCTCATTGGCCCATTTTGAGCCAGAGGCCCCAGCAAGAAAATGTTACCAACAGCGTTCAGAGGGAGGGACATGCCTCCTGCAGAGACTCAGCAGTTTGTACTTCACATGGGTCACTTCACCAGCTGATATATTTATAGTAGTTTCTGTTATGAGAATGTGACTAATAATAACAGATCAGATTATGTTTGGCAGCTAAACAAATGCTTCCCCCTAAAGCCCTCCCCTTAAAGCCAGTTCCTCTTTGGGACAGAACAACACTGAACTATCCCAAATGTGTGCTAGCCATTAAATACCACAATATTGCTACACAATTTGTGTGGTTTCCGAGCAAAGTTTTAGAAGATTTTTTCTGTCCAGCATTTATTTCAACAGACTGTTCAGGCAGTTGCTTTGGCTGGCATATGCAAACATGTAAATCAGATACTTAGGACAATATGTTATAGGCCAAATGTAAAATTAGTTAATTAGAAACATTTTGCAGGCTGCCTCTACCCTTACTTGACCTGGAAAACACAGGAGAAAACCATAGGAATAGAGGTGAGATGCATGGCCACAAATGGAACTTGTTTTGATTTCTGAGGAAAGAATTTTCTTCCAGAAAAGTAGATTGACTAATAATAAAATTAGCATCACATTTCTGACTGTTTAGGTTAGTTACATGGCTCCTCATTGAGCATTTTATGTCCTTCACAGCTGGTTTTATAGCAGAATTACTTCTCATTTTTCTTAAACATTTAAGCCAGCTCTACTTGCTGCGGGAACACCGGGAGACTCTGATCCTTCTTTCCACCTTTCTGCTAATCTTCCATTTCACTCTGCCAAGGCAACAGCTTCTCACTCTGTTCCTACAACATCCCCGTCTGCTGCTTCCCTCTCACCTCCTCTCCTTTCTAAACCCTTACATCAGCAAGAGAAAGACTCACCGAAGTTAAAGGTAACTGCACCTCTTGAGTATGGATTGTTGCAAATCTTCATATATATTAAATAACTGCAAGGCTAACACTGAGTTTGATCTTTTCAGATGTATTGTTTCCTTACTAATATTAAATAACATAGCACGTGGAGTATTAAGATAGGCCTTCTTCAAATGAAACACAAGGTAAAACTATAACCATTATGATAGAATGAAATAGCTTAAGGAGATACCAGTGACAGGAAAGCAGAAAGCCTTCAACTCAATTTCAAGTCCATACCAGGACATCAGTAACTCTTACTTAATTGAAAGAAACGGAATCGTATTCAAGTACACAGAAACTAAGTCACATTTGTAGTTTAAAAGCGTTTTCAATTTCCATTCAAAGCCTGGGAGAACAGTCATAAATTTCACAGTAAAGCACCACTGGAGATGGTCATGTTCTAAATACCAATTCTGTTAGTCAAGGACTGGGCAAAGATTATTCCCTCTTCAGGACTATGCTTTGTGTCAGCATTGCAGATCTATGGCAGAAAAATAAAATCTGGAAAGTTTCTCTGGATAGACAAAGTCAATTTCCAGTGCTGACATCTAGAGAGTCCATTTGCTCATGAAAAGGAGAAAAAGTAATATAAAGAGTCTGAGAAACTATCCTAGAAAAAGTGATCATTACATCTATGGGGAAAAAAAAAAAAAAAAAAAAAAAAAAAAAAAAAAAAAAAAAAACACTACAATTACAAAAAACCCCACATGTATGTTTTTAAACATCTACCACATCTTACAATATGTTCATGGAAAACCCAGATATAACAGACTTAAAGAAGTCCACCAGCTCTGTTGTTTTTTTTTCTGAATTAGGACACAGACATAAGGGTTCTTTCCAGGACATGACTCTGTCAGTGGCTTAGGCATGTTTCACCTCAAAGAAGGGGCAAAACACAGTATTGCAATTTTGAATAATTTATCAGTTGTGCAGTGCTTTTGATGGGTACTTTTTGCTTAGCCTAACCAACAAAATTGAGAAAATTGCTCATCTACACCGAAATTCTTTTTAGGTGACCTTGATATTCCTTGCCCTTGTTTGAGCAAGGTATGTTAATCCCAGCTGAAAATAAATAGAAGGAATATCTGTTCTCAGAGTTAAAAGATCTGCTCCGGGAGCCTCCTAGACGCTGTACTGCACTTCACTGGGCACGGCGGGAAGCAAGACATGGAGTAACCAAGGGAGGTGACTCCATCTTGCAGACACAAGAGCCTGAGTACTGAGAAGGACTAGACGTCTGGGGAGTTGTTACTGAGTTCTAGCTCTTAAATATTGTTTTCAAACCATTTCAAGTCTGGATTATTTTTTAAGTCTAGGGAACAGATTCCTTTATAAACTTAATCAGTATAAACTTATCTATTTGAAAATTATTTAAATTATTAGGTACATGCCTACCAATGACATATTTTTTATACAGTATTGCCAAAATGAGATAAAGATTTATTTCTTCCCAAAAGGTAAGCAAACTTGTTTCAGCAATAAACACTGACTACATTTCCAGGATAGACAGTTGGATTGAAGTAAATGTAACCAGGTTTTGGCTGCCATTTCTTGCTACTTAGTCTACAGGCTGAACTTGAGAAGGAAGGACAGTTCCTATCTTCTTCTCTTTATGCACGTTGTCAATACTTAAAGTCTGCTCTCAACAGCTACAGTAGAAAGAACATGAGACATTTCCAGGACTCAAATATCACAAGTGAAGGAAGGTTCTTCAGGGCGTTCTTGAAACTGTATACTGATACTTCGGTAATTTTTGTTGATGTAAAAATTGATACATACGTGTATGTGTACATATCTAATTGGAATGTGGCTCAAATCTAAAGCACGACTGGGGATTTGGGCAGTAGAATGCAATGAGCTATGGATGGGCAGTGTCACTTTGCTCCATGTTGCTGGATGTGTCCTCCAAAGGAAGAACTCTGAAGACACTTCCCAAGGAGAAGTGCTAATGTTTTTCTGTCTCCTTGGCCTCCCTTGTTATCCCTATTTTTTTTGTGTGTGTGTTATTCACCCTCTCAGCTCCTAAGAAGGGGCTGTTCTTCTGTCTTGCCGCATTCTACTGGCAGTCACAAATACCAAAGAAAGGTTTCCAATATCAGCATTCCACTCCTCTCGCATTCCCTCTGACTCACCCCTGCCCCCTGAGAATTCACATTTGCTGCACAGCCCCCCTTAGAAGCTGAATTCTGATAAACATTTAGCTGATTTATAGTGATATTAACAAAATGAGGATTTTACCTTGAAGTACTTCCCATTAAGTATTTACTGCTTTCTAAATGCACATTTAAGGTCCATGTTGTTTAACAGCAAGGAATTACAACATTTGTCATTGGTATTTCTAAGACAGCATTTCTCTTCTATGCTGTTGAGCTTTTCTGTATGATTAACTGAGCTGCTTCAGTGGGTACACTTGCAATAACCGTTCTTACTCCAACTGCATACACTGTGCATGATTAATCTTTTAACTGTAATGTGTTAGAGCATATGCCAGAGCAGCAAACCCTTGGAAAAAAGATACAGTGGCAACAATGAAAATACCATATGCTAATAGTACTGTTATTTGCACCTGAAACACATTTGCTTTTTGTTATCAAGAAAAGCATGTCCAGTTTGCATGTATGAATGAAGCAACAAAAATCCCAGGATGCTTCATTCTTTAACCCTCACTTGACACAGTTTTTGTGGTTTTTCTAGGCTAATTTAAAGAGAGAGATATTTGTTATGGGTAAGCCTCCTCGTAGCCCAGTGATGACTAAGAGATCCTGCAGCTCACCTGTCAGAGGTCACAGCTATTCACACAGGGTATGGTACTGGATGCCCAGTGTGCAGTAACAGCATTTCCATCAAAAAGGAGCTCAATGTCAAGTCTTTCAGTATTTTGTTTCTGCCCAAGTGTCTCAACACTATCAGTATGCCGTGCTTTTTCCTGTTGTGCTTCTGTGCAATGTCTGAGTAAAGCCAACAGGTCTGTGTGTGCCAAAACTTATTTTATAAATCCATTAGTATATTGTATCTCTGCAGTACTACTTAGTATTTCCAGTGCTACAAGATGTAAGAGATCAAAGTTCTTTATCTTTAGCCTGTTCTTTCCTAAATTACTTCTGTTTCAAAGCATTGCTAGTTTATTCAAATTACATCTTCTAAGCGTCAAAAACATATGTTTCATTGCATGTATACAGGCTGAATCCTTGTTTTTTAATCCATGTCCTTCTTTTCAAAATGTTTTGTTGCTGCTATATTCAGTCAATACTGTCCTCTTTATCCAAGCATGGTTATTCTAGACTGTCATACTCTTTAGCCTTTCCCCTCATATCTGTAGTATAACAGTAACATAACTAACAATTTTACCTAGCCAGAAAGTCAGATTGTTTAGAGTTCGCATGTGTTTCACTCAAAAAGGTGATCTAAATTGTGAAAAATTACCCAGCCTAAACTATATGAGAATAAGCATTTGTGGGTTGTGTTTTACTTTCAGTTTAGGACTAAATTATTCTTTGCATTGGTTTCTTAACATTTGGCTCTTACAACTGATAATGGGATGAACTGTTTTCCATGCTACTGCAGCTGATTTTAGGTTATCATCTTTCTGGTGGTTCCCTTTTTAAAAATTTAAGATATGCAGGTTTGTGTAACCTTTCAGAGTTCTGGCTTTTTGGCAGGTCTCTGTTTGCTACCAGGTATGAGAGGACAGTGCTTTCCTCAGTACAGAAGGGAGACAATTCAATCATGGGAAGGCCAGGATTCTTGTAGTAGAGGACCAACACCATCCCAAAGAAAGTCCAACTGGAAATAAGATCTATAAAAAAGGGATTAAGCCCTATTCTAATTTGGTGTGTTACTCCAAATGAATGGTATGTAATCAGTACATTGAGAGGACTGTATTGGTCAATATTTCATGCATTTATGTCTTTAATTCCAAAACTACAAAACCACAAATTGTGCACCTAATTTGCATGTTCAGGACCATACAGAATGCAAGCGCATATCATGCATGAAAATCAGGTGTACAACTGGGACCCTTGACTTGACTGCACACTTTTTAATGTTTTGGGGATTAGGCCCTACGAGTTTTCCCAGGAAACAGGGTAGTGTAGTGAACTGAGACATAGTTAGAAACTAGAAATTCCAAGCACCAAGAGCTACCCACAGGGTGATGCATTTCATGATATCTCTTGAGCACAATTAACCAGGCCTTGCAATAGTCCCCATTTTAGCCACTGCCACCCTATATGGGAACGAGAGCTTAGGGAAGGAAGATGGGGAGAAAGCTTCTTGATGTCAGCTGAGGTACGACTGAGGAATGCATTCAGATAGAGAGAGCACTCCATGGTTCCCCTGTTCAGACAGAGCACAGATTACTTCACCCTAGTTTTCCCAGATTCTGATATAATACTGACCTACCTAATTTCTTCCTGGCTTGGTATATGTTCAAATCATTAAATAATCTGTAGTATTGTTTAGGACATTGCCTTCTGTTGTTTGCAAGAAAAATCCGTAACCTCCGCTGAGTTCTCTTGCATCTCTGACTATCTTTGGCATTCAGCTCAGCTACAGACCGATGAAAGATTAGCAGAGAATAAGGTCAGATTTCAATCCAAATACCAACCAATCTGCCCAGTGGAATATTCTCTTACTTGACAAGCCAACTGTTGAAAGGGGTTTACCGAGAATAGAAATGTCTAATTTGCAATCATTATTGTTGGATTCTTCACTAAAAATTATCCATCTGTCTTGTACACTGGCAGAGGAAAGTTAGATGAGGGAGAGAAGAGAGCCAAAGAATATAAAAAAATTTTTTTGGACTTTGAAAACCTCTTTCCCACCTAGCTGCCATTACTAGGAATAAAAGTTCTGTGATCTACATGACTGCATCTTTAGGCATCTTTTTAAAATTTTACTCTACGTATTGTAAAAATTAAGTGAAAAACATTCACAGTATTTTCTGCATGTACACATACAAACATGCTGAAAAGAAATGCAACTACTTCACTTTCATCTGGAGATGTTGGGAGGGGGAAGGGAAAAAAAAAAAAAAAAAAGATGAAAACCATAGTGGTTTTGAACATTCAGTTGACATCATGAGGCTGTGGGTTGTTTGCCATGGCCTTCTCTCATGGAAGACTGCATCATCTGCAAGAGTAAACTGAAGCAAGATAAACTGAAATAGTCAAACCAGGGAAAAGAGAAGCATGGAGCAATAAGACAAATCCCATGGCTTCAAGATCAGGTTGCAGTTTACTCAATTCATAAAAAAGTGCTATGAGCTGTGTTTGATACTCACACTCCCAAAACAGAGACGGTTCCCAGGCTTGTATCAGACTGTCAGTCTCTACAACACGACCAAAGGGCGTCCTCAGTCAACAGAGAATATGATCAGTGCTCACATCAAGAGCTCTCCCAAGCAGCTGCTCCTGGCCCCAGCCAGATTCTAATCAGTGTAAGTCAGTGTCTTGCTAAGCAGGATATGGTTTCTGTAGGAGGTTGATTTTTTCATTTCAATCGTGTCCAGATTTATTGGATATTAGTGGTTGGTAATGCTCCATTAAGAAGGAAAGTAGTTCCTTTCATAAAGCTTTGCACTGGAAATACAAACTATGTTTTCCTCTGAAGTAAAAGTGTTAATTGTTATTTTCACACAATTACATGCATTTTTTCAAAAGTTTTTTCTGCTCTTTGCCTCCCAGGAGCCTGCATGGCTTTGTGCTCCCCCTTAAGACAAAACAGAATTAATTAAAGCATAGCACGTTATGCCTGCCAAGTTAGTACTCTGTGTGTGTGTAATGTAAATTGGTATGTTGTTTGTCTATGAATATTCTAAATTCTGCCATTACATAGAGGAGATTTTATTTCTCCTCATCTAAATATATACTGCACCCCAAAGACTGTATAATGTTCATCAGTTGCATCTGATTTTTCTAATGCTATTTCTGTTTCACAGTGAAGAGGCAGCAAGGTTCTAGCCCAGCTTTCTACTATAAATAGGTTGGACTGTTGATAAAGTTCACGGTTTTGTTTTAGTTTTTATTATGTTCTCAAAAAATCAGATCTTTAAACCTGCCAAGGTTCTGTTGCTTGACATGTCTCTCGAGTTTATTGTGAGTTGGAAGGGAGGGTGTGGGGAGGGGGGTTTGTTTTACACAAGGTAGAATATGAATTCTCAAGCAACTATGTATCATGTCCCTATCCAACTATTTAGACCTTAGACTATAAATCTTTGTTACATTTCAAATCATTTCATTTCAGCCACAGCGCCCTGTGCTTTCTCATGAAAACATACACAGTGGGGGGGAACCGTAAGTATACCTCTTGTCTACTAAACCAAAACCTAACATTTAAGCAATAGCCAACACATCGTCAAACAATTTGTTAACCTGCCAAGTACAATTATGAAGAGATTTCAGAAATTTACAGATAACCACATGATGCAGGAAGATATCCAAGAAGGTCCCAGAAGGCAAAGCCTTAGTTGTTTAACTTACATCCAACTCAGACAGACATGCCGACTTACAGTTCTCCATTGTTTACACTTAAAAGGGATAATCATTTTGTAAAAATAAATCGCTCCATTTTTACATCTCAGCAGAATACCAGTTAAAGATTTAATGTTGATTGAACTCATCTGCTTTACTGACTTGACATAAATTATTCAGAAATAGCTCTGGATGTGAATAGGTAGAAAAAAACAAAACAAAACAAAAACGTTTATCACAGGCTCATACTTTTTGGTGTAATTTACATGTGTAATTTAAAACTTCGATAAAATAAAGCCTTTCTGAAAACCAGAGAGGAACCTGGATCTCGAATCTTATTTTCACAAACAATACGAGTACTTGGAATAAAACACATAAGGCCAGTTCGGTGCTGCCTGTTAAGATGCAAGTTCGGTGCAAGATTGTTTTGATTTCCTCCAGCCCCCCCAGTCTTGCACTCGGGTCCTGCCTCAGTGATCACCAAAACCTGTGGCCGTTCTGCCTCTAGCATCAGAGCACTCTGGAGTACGCCCTAATATGTGAATTCTCCTAAATGTAACTAAGGGTTAGCATCTAAAAATATTTTAAAGTTTACCTGTTACTCAACTGAAGAAATGGCAAGAGAGAAGAGAGGGGCAAAAAAATACCAAATAACTATACCACAGGAAATATATAATGAAAATTGGACATTTTGGTTTCAACTTCCCCAAAACCACAAGCTCCTGTTGGTGTTGTTGAGCATACTGAAGCACCTAACTCTGTTTTGTAAGCAATAATTATCTAATTAATTTTGTTCAATATAGTTTAAGTAGTTCGTGACTAAAGTTACTTATTCCTAAAATTAAAATAGAAATACATTTAAATTGCCAACCAACCATTCTTGGTCTTGAATACGTATTCTCTTAGTGTTGTAAATGGTAGTAAGAGTTTTCATATTTAAAAAAATCTTAGGTTAGCAAAGAGAGAATGAAATTACTATCAAGGGGTTATTAAAATGGATTATCTAGAAATGACTAAGATTAGATTTCTAAAGGACAAAGGGTGCTAATTTGGAAATTGTTACTGTATTTGAGTAATGGGCTTGAATCCTATTCATGACATGTTATGTCTGCAACTCCTGTAGCTTTGGAAGCTGCATTTAGTGTTTCTGGTATATCATCGTAGCTTCCTGGAATAATTATAAGCATGACAGAAAATGTTATTGCCATTTAATTGT